TTTAGATCCATCTAACAAAACTCACCAAAGAATGGATATACAGATCAACTCTTTTTTTTCAATAGGATATTCAAAGCACAGAAGGCTTATTTACATCTGAGAAATGGATCAAACCTGTTGTACAAACACCCAGCTCACCTCAAACTGCTCTCAGCAGAGGAATGTCTCCTGTGGAGGTGAGCACTCAGCCAGGCATGCACCACAGCCCAAGGAACTACCTGACTCTTGTAATAAAGCTGAACAACCCAAGCATAAAGCCCCTTCCCACCCCTCACACTGCACTCAGGGGTTTGCCTCCATGTTCTCACAGACTCTTTGGAAAGGAATGTACATTTACCTACAGTGCAGTTCGTGGGAATTTCAGTCTCCCTCTGTGACTTTTAATAACCTCTCACTTCATTTACCTGCAAGTAGAAATCTACTAAACCCAAGGAAGAGCTGACTCCAAAGCAGGGCTTGTTATTAATGTGTGTTCATGCATCAGGTTAGAGCTGCCCAGTGGCTTGGCCAGCAGAGTTTAAAAAAGTGGATTAGCTCTTATAATTCACCTGTTAGTCACTGTAGGACAAGACACAACTAATGTCCTTTAGTGTTACCTTACCATGAGGCTCTTCATCTATTCCACCATCTTCCCACTGCTCTTCATTTGCTAGGAGAGGATTCTGAGCTTCAGACAAAGCTCTCATGGGGAAAAAATGTCCATCACCCTGGCTGCATGGGAGAAGGCCAAAAAAGACACTGTAAAAAGCAGCAAGTGCCTCTGAAGGATGGCAGTTTCTACCTGGTTTACCTGCAAACAAAGTTTTCTGTTGCCTGTATTTCCAACATTTACTTAAAATGATTTTTAGGTTTAGAAAAATACTGTGTTTATTTTTTTGTAGCAGCTCAGAAACCAAGTTTTACTAGCAAGGAGTTTTGGTCCTCAATTCCTTCTAGCTCTCTGGAGAATAAAACTTCAAACCTACAGCCTGGGATTCCATCATTTTTAGCAGAACTTAAATGTGCCTAAGCTGATCATTTGGGTAAAGAAAAAAAATAACTTATGGGCAGAGCTAGAAGTGAGGGGGGAACTAAGGAAAATATTATCTAGGATAAAACTTCTGCTAAACAGGCTTGACAGCAGTGATGTTTGCTGGTGCACTCACAGTGATGCACACCAGCAGTGAGCCAGGCCACACAGCAGCAGGTGTAACACACGAGGCTGTAGCAGGCATTAAGAAGTCAGTCCCTTCAGTTAATTCCAGCAGCTTTCAGCACTGATTTGATTATTACTTACCTGGAGGCAATAGGTAGTAACCAGAGCTTTTTTTCCTCTCCAAACACTTGCTGAAGATTCTTTACAAAGCCAAGATTGAATCCATTTTTATCTGGGCCATTTTGAAACACTGGAGCTGAGAAAGCCTCTACACACAGAGGTAAATTCAGTGAAAAAAATGAAAATCAATGCCAAATGCTCTGAAACAGGATTATGTATGTTATAGCCACCCAAAGACAACATGATTGAACAGTCTATAAACCAGGATTACAACAATACAAAGTTTCAAAACAATAGTTTTTCATTTTGTAAGCCTGCAAAGACTTTCAAACTGACAGCAGGAA